CAGAACTCAGGGAAACCTTTACTTACGTTTAGCAGTTTATAATAAAAGAATATGGTAAAGGATACAGATTAACGTCTAGATGGAAGGGATGTGTAGGGCAAGGTGGGTGGGAAGAGGTGTGGAGCTTCCATGCCCCATCCAGGCCCACCCCCCTCCATCCCCCTGCCCAGCACCTCCATGTGTTCACCAGCCCGGAAGCTCTCCGAACCCCAGACTATTGGAGTTTCATAGAAGCTTCATCACGTAGGCTTGAGCGATCATTAACTCCATTTTCAGCCCTTTTCCCTTCTCAAGAAAACGAGGGGCAGGGCTGAAAATTCCAAGCTTCTAATCATGGCTTTGTCTTTCCAATGACCAGCCCTCGTCCAGGAGCCACCCAGAGTCGCCTCCTTAGCAAAGACCAAATATTAGGTCAAAAGATACTCCTAATGCTCTTACCACTTAGGAAATTACAAGGGTTTTAAGGGTCCTGTGCCATGAATGAGGGGCAGAGACCAATATATATGTTTTCTGTTATCTCACCAGGGATTCACTGTGTACCTTGTCATAAAAAAGGATACCTACTAAACCATTGTGAAAGTCAATGTAAATGTTATACATCTCTAAATTCCTAGTCCAGTTCCCTAGTCAGAGTAGGTACATGACAAATCTTAATGACAATTATTTGTAAAGTGGGGTTGTAGATCCTTCCTGCCCTTTGCACCAAACAGGTTGATGTAAGGAGCACAGGAAATAATGCTTGGAGCTACTGTGAAAAGTATTGAATGCTATTCAAACGTGATGTAGAATTGATAGTAAAATTATCATTGTTTGTTGTATATATGAATCAAGGACTTACTGTGTGCTGAGTACTATGCTAGATATTTTAGATCTCATTTATTCTCAGAGCATGGTTATATGTGTCAGTGTTATCGCCATTTACAGATGAGGAAAATGAGGCTCAGAAAGGTTAGGATACTAGCCCAAGGTTACACAGCGGGAAAACCAAGGTGTAGGATCTAGGTCAGATGGTATTTGTGCATGAGTGAGTATGAAGAAACATAAGAACATGAAGGGAGTGGTGATCACTGGACAGAACCCTGCAAAGAGAAAGGAACTTTGAGATAAGGAAAGACTCCAAGGAAAGCTCTCCTCCAACCCCTCTACTCTCATCCTTCTTACCTCCTATGCATTGGGCCAGCTGGTAGCTGCTGAAAGTATGTTTCTGATGATTCTGATGGAACGTGGTTATCTCAAGATGGCAGGTTGTTACTGACCCTTCCCAAGAACTGCAATATTTATTTAAATGTTTAAATACTACATGAGAATGGGCACAGGACAGTGCGTGGTTTAGTGCACGGGCCCTGAGGTCATGCTGCCCAGATCTGTGACTGTAGGCAAATTACTTGACCTTGCTAAGTCACCTCTTCCTCACCCTTAAAATGGGGACAGTGGTAGTTCCTATCTCATAAAGTTATTTTGATCATTAAACAAGAAAACATTTAAAAGGTGGTTAGCACAGAGTTCTATCGGGAGCGGGAGCGGAGAGCGGACCCCAGAGAGCCCCGAGCGGCCTCACCGCTGCCGCCGGCCTGGTTACCGTCCCAGCCCGGGAGGAGCCGCAGCTGCCGCAGGGGGCCCCAGTCACCGTCGCCGCAGCCACAAGCAGCGAGGCCGAGACCCGGCAGCCGCCCGCCGCCCCCCGCCTTCAGCGCTGCCGACCCCAAGCCCCGCACGACGGGCAGCGGCGGCGCCGGGCGCGGCGGCCCGGGCGGCCTCACACCGGCGGCGCCTGCCGGCGGAGACGAAAAGACCATCGCATCGAAGGTTTTGGGAACAGCAAAATGGTTCAGTGTGAGAAACGGGTGTGGTTTCATCAACAGGAATGACACCGAGGAAGATGCATTTGTTCACCGGACTGCCATAAAGAAGAAGAACCCCAGGAGGCACCTTCGCGGTGTAGGAGGTGGGGAGACCGTGGAGTCCGATGTCGCTGAAGGAGAAGAGGGTGCGAAGCAGCAAACGATGCAGGCCCTGGAGCGGTTCCAGCGCAGGCAGTAAACGTGCCGCAGACCGCGACCACTAGAGCCGCTCTCCACGTCGCAGCGGTCCTCCACGTCGCAGCGGTCCTCCACGTCGCAGCGGTCCTCCACGTCGCAGCGGTCCTCCACATCGCAGCGGTCCTCCACGCAACCTCCAGCAGAAGTACCAGAAGAGTGCCCCCCCCCCGCCCCGTGGCAAACCTGAGGCACCAAAAGGTTAAGTTCCTTCCCCAAGTTACCCAGGGAAAGTGTGGTAGGGCTGGAATTCTAACCTAGGCATTTGGGCTCCACAGTCTAGGATGTCAACCAACCCCTCCAATGTGCTGCAGCGTAAAGAGACTGAAACCTGCATATATCACACAGTCCATGCTCAACTATTGATATTTTAAATTGCAGAAAATATCCCAGGGAGCAAGCACTCACTAAAGTCTGGGCGTTTCCTCCACATATGTTATTTCATTTAACTTCTGAGCCTCTCTTCAGTGCCAAGAATAGGACTGTTGATCCAAATGCCGCTTAAAATATATGACTCTGATTGATTTGCTAAAAGATAGGCCAAGAAGGAAAAAAAAGCTTCTTCTTCAATTAAAAAATATGCATCAGGGACTTCCCTGGCAGTCTTTAAGACTCTGCACTTTTACTGCAGGGGGAACAGGTTCAATCCCTGTTCGGGGAACTAAAATCCCACAGGCGTACAGCGTGGCATGGCCAAGAAGAAAAAAAAAGGAATTAGAGATCAGCCTCCATAATTAGCTGTGAGAATATTCCAGTGGCAATGATATAGCCAGTTAATTTTTTTCCATTTCTTTTTTTTAATATTTATTTGGTTTTTATTTGTTTTTTATGTTTTAATTTTTTTGGCTGCATCGGGTCTTAGTTGCGGCACGTGGGATCTTTCGATGTGGCACGCAGGCTCTTCACTGCAGCGTGCGGGCTTCTCTCTAGTTGTGGTGCGCGGGTCTTCTTTGTCCAGTTGTGGCACACGGGCTCCAGAGTGCATGGGCTCAGTAGTTGTGGCATGCGGGCTTAGTCGCCCCATGGCATGTGGGATCATAGTTCCCTGACCAGGGATTGAACCCATGTCCCATGCATTGGAAGGCAGATTCTTTACCACTGGACCACCAGGGAAGTCCCTCCATTTCATATTTTAATCTTTACATCAATTTTGCTGCTTTTTACCTTGCCTGCTGTAATATTTGAAAAACTTTATTGAGATGTACAAATTCCCACTTCATTGAGCTAAGAAGCATTTTCGGAAATAGACATTGAATTATGCACTAAATTAGGGCTATAATATACATTATTTTTTCAAGTAAAAGAAAGACCTTATAATTGAAAGTTCAAGGTATGTCACACTTTCATTTTCTATTTCAGTCTACCATTGGAATACAACAGTTTTTTTAATCTTTATTGAGCTATAACTTAAGTACCATAAAACTCACCCAAAGTGTGCAATTCAGTGCTTTTTAGTGTCTTAACAGAGTTTTGCAACTGTCACCACTGTCTAACTTTAGGATATTTCCATCAGCCCCCAAAGAAACCCTGTGCCCCTTGACAGTCACTCCCCACTCCTCCCCAGCCCCCAGCCCTTGGCAACTACCAGTGTACTTTCTGTGTTGATAGATCTGCCTGTCCTGGCTATTTCATATACAAGGACTCTAATACAGTATGTCAACGCATAGCTTTTGACGTGAAAAACCATCTGAGTTCTAACATCTTAGAAATGCATGGTAGGAAGGTTGCTAGCTGTCAGATCTGGGCTTAGATAAGGAGAGGCTTTATTCAAAGAGACTATTTCAATAGGGAGGATAGTTGAGTTTCAGAAATGTACAAGAGTCTGAAAATCAAACAGAAAAAGCTTTTCTTTTATGGGAAGGAGATAAACAGACCTCAGCAGAAACTTTCAAAGGGAAGTTGGACAAGCAAGGCGGCATAATCGTTGGGGGTTGACAGGAAATGTGTCTCGCTGTGTCAACTGGTTCTCAGGACCAGCTGAAAAGGGGACACGTTCTGCATTTCAGCACCTGCTCAGGCTGGGGGCCAAGCTAGGGTTCAGGGGCCTGTGTGGGGGAGGGGAGAGGCCTGAGTAAATTTTGGTCAAGAGAACATCTGCGGGCAGCTGTGAACACTGGGTCATCATAATGAACTTCAGTGGACTCCCTGATTTTTAGGAATTTCCCTCAGTTTCCCTGCTGGGGTTGGGTCTTAAAGCAAGCTTCCTTATACTGCATATGCCACCATCTCCCCAGATATTCCTGAGGAACAAATCGTGTGTTTAAGAACATAAAGCGGAGAACAAGGTAAAGGGTTATGAAAAGAAAGGATTCTCTGAGTTTAGTCTGGGGTGAGGGAGATGATTGAAAAGCTTAATAGCTTAAAAGTGGGCATAAAACTTTCAATCAAATGATTAAGGCTTGCCGAACATTACTTTGAGAAAAAAACAGGTAATATCAATTTGCATCCTTGATTTCTTCTCAGACAGCTTCAAATCTATAACTGTTTTCATGTTTCTCCCAGATTCCATGTTTCTAATATATTTCTCTTTCTGTTGCCCTTAAATCACTTACACAAAAGGCCTTTTAGCTTTCCTTAAGGGAGTCTGAAAGGCATCATGAGAAAGTCACTATTCTTGTTCTGTTCTCCAAAATTCATTATAAAATTCCTTCACTTTGGGTCAGATTCCTACCTAGAGATCAGATGTAAGACGATAAAAATAATTGTGTTACAATAAATAGATTTATTCCCTACAGACTTTTCTAGTCCTGGCTGTTTTCACTTTACTTAAAGGATAATTAATTTGCTTATGTTTTTGCCTATGATCTTTTCCTTATTCTGCTTTACTTGTTATTTCAAAATAAAGAATTGAAAGATTGTAGTATTTTTTTGATGACTGGATTTAGATTATAGGTGCTGGTTTCTAATGTAATTAATCAACCTATAAATTCTAATCCAGTCATTTAAGAGAAAATCTTTCCATTGGAAAAACTGGTTTTAAACTGAGCTGCAGTGCCCTTGCTTACCTAATGTGTTATTTGGAGCAACACCTCTGCAGTCTTTAGACCCAAGCTATTCATCAGTGGTCAAAGATGCTAGAAACGGAGCAGTGGTACACCCCAGGGAGTTATCAATGTAAGCGTAGGTGTTGGTGTGCCTGGGATCTGGAAATGAGTCAGCGGCTGTGAGAGTTTCTTTGGCAGGTAATTTTATTTTCCCTGTGGCTAAGGATAATTACTGTGCTAAAGTTCCACGCAAATATGACATTATAAGGCTTTGAAATTCAGGTTAAGTATTCATTCACTCTTTCATTCTAAAGAAAAGCCAGGAATGGGGAGGAGAGTGGTATGGTTACTTAAAAAAAATTTTTTTAAAACGTATTACTGTAGATTAACTCAATTTCCATTGAATGAAACTGAACATTACTTTGCTTTTTTTATAACAGTCTGTTGTGCAAGGAACACGCCTGCCTTTTTAGCTAAAAGACTGCACCAGGCTTTGAAGGTTGGTCTGGAAATTTCATATATATTCTTAACTTGCCTCAAGGAGAATGTAAAAATATTGCTTAATGTTGATGGAATTTCGTATTTCTTTTCCACCTTGATGAGTTCTTTTCTGTAGCTAATGTGTCTACTAATTTGGCTCATTGGTTGTTAATGAGTATCCTAATCATTACAGGCGTAGGCACACTGAAGTGTTGAGTAAATCATTTCCCCCACTTCACCGTAATGTGGGCAGTCAACTTGTTTTAGGATGACAGACCTCCAGCGTGAGCCAGTAGCCTCTCAAGCTGCCTTACTTAAACGAAACTGCGTCAGCGGCCTTTCATGATACAGAAACCCTGTGTTTTCTCGTCTGCTGCCACTGCTGGATGGGGAGCTCCAGGAATCTGTTCAGGAGGTTTTCTTGCTCTTTTATGTCTTTAGACCCTCATACTGAGCCTGGCACATAGAAGGTGCTTACTTCGGTTTCTTCCTGGACATTTCCTGTGGAAGTCCATGTGCTCCTACAAAGCTGTGTCCAAAGTAAACACATCATTTTCCTCACCTCACCTCCCACCCCAGTCTTGCCCCCCATCCTGCATTCAGTCATCTCAGTGGATAACCCCAGCAGGAACTAGCCTTGCCCAAGTCGCTGAAGTTATGCCTTTCCTCCCCAGCCTTGTAGGAACAAGGCATCAGCCACAGCCTTCTTTCTGTTTCTTGACTGTGCTGAGCCTCTTCCCATGTCAGGGTCTTTGCATGTGTCATCCTCTCTCCAGCTCTGCCTATGGCTGTCTCCTTCTCATCTCTGAGGTCTCAGCTCAAATGTCACCTCCTGGGAGAGGCCTTCCCTCACTACACCAGTCAGCTGGCTTCCTTTCACTCACACTCCATCCCATCATTCTTACTACCATGTACCTGAGCAACTTGTTCATTGTCTTTACTGTCCATCTCCATCTATTAGAACGTAAACTGCATGAGAACAGAGATATCATCTGTGTCGTTCACTACCATATGCACAGCACATGGCACAGTGTCTGGCACATAGGAGGTGCTCAATAAGCATTTGTTGAATGAATGAATAAATGAATAGTGTCAATATTCACCTAACCGTTCAGCGAGAAATGTTACACTTCCCTCTCCTTCATTCTCCTCAGATGATATATCATTAAGTTTTGTCAATCAGCCTTTATGAGCATCTCTTCAATCTATCCATTTTCTCCATCCCTACTGCCATTATTCTAGGTCAGGCCATCATCATCTCTCTGTCTCTGTCTCTGTCTCTCTGTCTCTCCCCTTCTCTCTCTGGTTATGTAATCATCTCTGGATGGGTCCCAAAGCTTCTAGTCTTATTCTGTTATCTTCATCCCACCCTTGCCCTGCAGTCCATTCTTCATACTGTTGCCGTCAAAGGAATTTTCTGAAACCACAAATCTGATCTGATCTCAACACTCATGTTTAACAGATTGCAGTAGTTCTTCACACTTGGGATAAAGTCGAATTTCATTTCACGGTTTACAAAGTCTGGCCTTTCTAGACATATTTCTTGCTGTTCCTTCTGATTATTTATGTTCTTGCCCTAAACCATCACACATGCTGTTTCCTGTGTAGGAACACTTGTTTTCCTCTCTGTAAGAACTCCATTCCTTCTTCCCCTGGCCGATTATTTAGGCCCCAGCTTAAATACCACTTTCTCAAACAGACCTTTCCTAATCTTTGATCTATCTTAGGCCTCCCGAGCATATGCTCCCATAGTACCCAGTCGTTCCCATATGTCAGGTTTTATTGTCATGGCCCATTTTCTCGCCTGTATCCTTTACAAAATTGAAAGTTTAACCGGGGCATCTCATCTCTGTTTTCAGCATTTGACAATGTGATGGCACAAAGTGCTCAATAAATATTTCTTGAATAAATGAATGTTGATGTTTGATGAAAAATGAGTGAAGGAGAGTCACTGTGGTTGAATATTTTGTGAACCATTATCTATGTCCTGTAAATATAGTTCTATGTGTTGTTTTGTGACCAATGAGATTGGTATTGTGGACACTTGCATTTCTCAACAGGGCGCTGGGACTGATGAGTTTACTCTGAACCGAATAATGGTTTCCAGATCAGAAATTGACCTTTTGGACATTCGAGCAGAGTTTAAGAAGCAGTATGGCTATTCCCTACATTCAGCAATTGAAGTAAGTCTCTTCTTAAAAATAGCAAAACATATCATGCCTCTCTCTACCCATCCTTTTTCCCTTATAATTCTCAAAACATGGAGATATGTGACTTAGGTTTCTCTCTCTTGTCAGTGTGTAAATGTGTTTCCTGAGTTTAAAAGAGTAATAACAAAATATCCCTTAAAGACAGTGATTATTTTTCAGCTCTAAAATCCCAGGCACATAAAAGACACTCAGCATTTTTTTCAGGTTTAGTGGCCACTAATTTTTCTTCTTTTGTGAATTGCATATGCAAGTTGCTTAACCTATTTTTTATATTGCAGTATTTTAATTTATTTCAGTTTTTCTTTCTGACAATAGAAGAAAAGTACGTATTTTAAATTTCTTCTTTGTTTGACTCAAAAGATAACATCGTTCTGCACCTTGGAGTTCTTTTTATTTCAGGATATAGGAAGCTTTCTCATTCCTTTTAACAGCTGCATATCATTCCATTATTTGTATATTTGTACCTACCACATCAACAGATGTTTCAAGTTTCTTGCTATTATAAACAACGCTGCAATACGCATATACAATTTCATAAGGTACAAGTGTATCTGAGGGATAAGTTCTCATGGGTTGGTAGGATTGCTGAGACAGATGTAAATATTACCAGTTGACTTCCACTGCACCTCAGTTAGTCAACTAGATTCATTCACCAAAATCGTTTGTTTTTTGGTTTTTGTTTTTAATGAGAGCTGTTGTTTTTGCACTAAACCTTTGCAGGAAAAGATGCATGCCTAAGTTGAAATAGAAAACTTATTCCAAAAGGCAGCTGTCAGGCTGTGCCTGGGGCTTAGCACAGACAGATTCCATCAACTGCTCATACTCAACGAAATTTGAATCGATCTGACACATTACAATAGTTTCAGTCAACAGAGAAAGATACAATAACGTTAACCAAATTGTTTTTACCAAGGCAGAAAAGGAGAGGCGTATGTTTTATAAAGATTGCCAGTAACAAGGTTGAAACACGAAGAAAGCCGTCAGTTCACCCTTGGCAAACTAGGAAATTCAGTTAACTGGTAGCTCTCCCTGCCCCCCTCCATGGTCTGGGTAATTGAGGCTTATTGTATTAGGAAGCATTTAAGCAACGTGTATCTTGACAGAAAAGAGAAATCCATTGCTGCAGAGTTCAGTGTAAAATTATCTAAGGTTTCTTCACTTCTGTCACCTAACATACATTATCAAGTAATCTCATTACGTTTTCAAGACTGACGAATAGGATGTTTTCGATGGTTAAAATTCTGTAATTCAGGAGCTAGAGTTCCATTTTGTATATCATCTCAGCCTTGGGTTCCTCTTCCTTCCGCCTTTAATTGAGACATTTCTCTGCTCATTAACACCTTTCTCAAATGATGACTGGAGGGGAGGAGAAGAGGAAGAGAGTAGGTGAGAACAAATCTGTATTTCTTAATAATAGGATCTTAATTTAAAGATTGGATGAAATTACAGTTTTTGGTAGATTTCCTTTATCAACAAGTTGAGTACCTATTTAATAAATAGCATAATTCCAGGGTCTTTAAAGGAAAATATAATAGCTACGCTCAATTAATTCATAATCTATGTGGAGACTGAGGTGGGCATAAATAAAACAATTACAAGATAATAATATGAGTTACCACAGTATTCTGCCTAATAATATTTCTTATTGATAGTACATACTAAAACGTGAGATTATAAATGCAAAAAAAATTTTTTTTAAAAAGAGAGAATAAAGTGGCTGACATAAAGAAATAATATGGGGCTTCCCTGGTGGCGCAGTGGTTGAGAGTCTGCCTGCCGATGCAGGCGACATGGGTTCGTGCCCCGGTCTGGGAAGATCCCACATGCCGCAGAGCGGCTGGGCCCGTGAGCCGTGGCCATTGAGCCTGCGCGTCCGGAGCCTGTGCTCCGCAACGGGAGAGGCCACAACAGTCAGAGGCCCGCGTACCGCAAAAAAAAAAAAAAAAAAAAAAAAAAAGACGTTTGGGATTAGATAGGGAATATTTCTTGGGAAATGGGTCTTGAGCTTGCCTTTCAGGTGAATAAGCATGTGTTAAGTGCTTCGCATGAGCCAGGTGCTATGCCGGTCAATAGGGTCTCAAAGGGGAATGCTCTAGAAACATATATATGATGAGAAGTAGAAGGATAAGAATTAATGAGGCACTTGATTGATTAGGAGTCTACCTTGGGAATATGGAAAAATAAAATCTGAGTGGCAATATGCATTCAGTTGAAAGGAAGACTTGAGATCACAGAATTCGTATTCCATTCATTCCATTTAAAATATTTACTGAATGTATATTATGTGCCAGGTTCAGGATTACAATTATAAGTAAAGAAAAAAGTTTTCTGTCCTTATGGAATTAGAAATAAATGTAAAATTACAACCATGTTCAATGTAAAGGAGATTGTGCTATAAGATCACATAACAGGAGGATTTGACCTATAGGAAGGTTATGATTCAGATCTAAAAATGACTAGACTTAACAAGGCGAAGGCTGTGGGGGTCAGAGGTCAGCAGAGCCTTCTAACAGAAGGAATTGCAAGTGGAAAGATCTCGTGGTGGAGGAAACATTAATGAAAATTGAGGCTGGCGGGACCAGATCATTCAGGACTTTTTCTGACAATGTCTAAGGATTTTGTCTTGCTTAAGAGCGATGGGAGGCCAGTGAAGTGTTTAAATTTTAAGCACATAGTGTCATGACCAGAAGTATATTTAGAAAAGATCCCTGTGACTGTGGAGAATGAATTGGACATAAGATAGAAGGTATGTGGGGTGATGAGTTACTATATTCGTCATATTAGAGTAGCTCTGACTGTAACACAAAATAGTGATGCAAAGCTACTGGTAATACAAAAGGAGGAAAGAGCAAAGACTCAAAAGATATCTAGGAGTTAAAACTTAAGGGACTTGGTATGAACATCTTGGTGTGAGGAGAAAGGAAGGGAAGGAGTCGAGGATGACTCCCAGGTTTCTAACTCCCAGACTCATAACAAACGTGGCATCTTGTACTGTAAGCCTCAATCTCACCTGGTATCTTTTCTGAACCAAGATCCTTTTTTGGCTAGCCTAGGCAAAAGGAACTGGGAAACATACTCTGTGGGAATGTAGTTCATTTCACTTTCTTAAGTCAGGAAGTATAGTTTGGTGTTAAGGAGCCAGGTTAACTGGGTTCGAATCCTCCCTCTGCATTTATTCTCTATATAGTTTGGGGCAAATTTCCCAACCTCTGTTTTTCTCATTTTACTTATCTGTTAGGTGGAGCTACTATGGTATCTACTGTACAGAATTATTATAAGGGTTAAAGGAGTTAACCCTTAGAAGAGCAAGTGTTAGATAAATACTAATATAAATATTATTAAAACTATAATTCCCTAAAGTTTTGTGAGAAAAATAAGATTATGTAATATTAGGTAATTGATGCACTCATTTTTTTTAAACCCAAATTGAAATTTAATTGCAGTATATCAGGAAGAATTTAAACATCATATATTATAAAGAAGATGCTAGGCTGGAACAGGATTACACTCAGGTATGAATGGGTGATGGAATTACAGGTGCATTTCACTAAATGGTACAGGTCATGAGCCTTACACGCCAGTGAATCCCCTAGTGCTGTGCAGTTTGATTCATTCATGGTCCCCTCATTATTTACGCCATGTCTGTCCTTCTCTCCATCGGTCCTGTCCCTTACAGTCAGATACTTCTGGAGACTATGCAGTCACACTCGTAAAGATCTGTGGAGGAGATGACTGAGTCAAGAATGTCATTTCTAAAGGCTGCCTGCTCCCATGACGGACTTTTCCCACAGCTCTAATTACTTCTTTCTCGCAGTATTTACAAGTACAAGCAAGTGTCAAGAGCAACCTGTTTTCCTAATAGAGATTTTCATTGTTCCATAATAATAACAACAACAAAGTGATTATTATCATAGAACATCTCATCATAATGTAGCCGTTTATAAATGAAATTTTTAAATGACATTAAGGATCAGCTAATACTATCCAAATTATATTTCTGCTTTGGAAGTGAGACTCTTTGTTCAGTTCTAAAACATAAAATGCAAAACAGTGTAACACAAGTTCTTGCCTCCTCTGTAAAATGTAATCTGTTGTTATCATCAACCAGCATTGTTTGGTACCTGGCACTGACAACTAATGATATTTTAAAACATGTTTTGGTTATAAAGCTGTTGCTGCTTCCATTTGTCTACCGTCTTATTAATCACATTCATCCTTAAGAAAGGAATAAAAACGAAGATGTATGTACTCCTGGCTTCCCCTTTCTCGTCTGATCAAGCTAGAGCAGTGGCAATGCATAATAATTTATTTCAGAAAACATCTGCTGAACTACTGATCTAACCATTGCCCATCTGAATGGCAAGCATGAATTGTGGTCGTTTCATGTTAAATACTACTTTCCCAGAAGGGGTGTTTAGAATCAAGTTTCTAAGATATGCTTTTCCTCTAAAATAAGTTGGCAAAACTACACATTTCAACAAATCTTTCATGTTACCTTTGAAAGGGACCTAGGATGAAATACCTAGACTAAAAGGAAATATATAAGGTAAAAAATTCTAGTTGGAGTTATTAGTCTGAACTAAAATAGAAATGATAGCTGTATGAGAAACAGTGACGTCCAGAACTTTTAATCAGTGGATTCCACTGGTCAACATCTCTGAGACCTTGCAGAAAGATGGAGAAGTTATTTCTCATTCTGAGATTTCCAAAATGCATATGGGAACAAAGCACAGGGATTTAGAATCCACATACCAGGTTTTGACATCCTGCCCTACCATTTACCACTCTGTGATGCTGGGAACTACGAAACCCTGCTAAACCAAAGTTTTCTCATCTTAACAGCACTTACCTCTCTCATAGGTTTGTTTTTTTTAAAAAAAAAGATTAAGTGAAATGATGCCTGTGAAGCACTTAGCCCTGTGCCTGGACATGGCAAGTGTTCAGTTACCATGTTTTCATTTATTATCACCAAGCAACATCAAAATGATCATGACAGCATTGCAACCATTCTTCAATAGACTTCAGTTCACCTACCATGTGACACACCCCGTGCTAAATTAAGTGTTGGGTACACCAGAGGAACGAAGACTCGTTTCCTTTGCCCAAAGAGCTTAAAATCTGTTTAGGGAGAGAGACCAATGTGGTGGAGGCTTAGAGTACAAGGGGAGGTGACCGGTGATAGGCAGGGGCTAGATTATGAAGGTCTCACAGACCATGCTAAAGAGTTTACGAGCAAGGGAGAGTCATGGAAGGAGCATTCAAGGAGGATTTCAATCAGGGAAATGATTTTTTGGTCAAATTTTTGATCAGGGAAGAGGCATGTGTGGGAGAAGAAAGCTAAAGGCAGGGAGCCCACTTGGCAAATTAATTTTCTAATCAATACTAGACGCGTCAGTCTGAGCTAAGATAATGGCAAGGGAGAAAAGGGGGGGGGGAATATACACACTCAAGAAGTATTTAGGAGGTAAAATTGACAGAACACAATAATCAAAAGGGTCAGGTGTCAAGTATACCCTCACGATTTTGGCTTAAGTGATTTGGTAAGTAAGTGTCTCACCAAGCAATAAATCATTGCTAATACTCATTGAGTGCTTACTGTATATCAGGCACTATGTTAAACAGTGTAGTATATGATAAATCATTCATCCTCAAGGAACTTTCCAATGTAGGCGTTAACTCACAGATACAGGAATGGAAGCTTAGAGAAATTAAGTAACTTGCCCATTGGAAGAGCCAAGATTTAAACCCAAGCAGCCCAACTCACAGTGTCCAGGCTATTAACCACGATTTTGCCTTAGAATTTATCCCACTCCAAGGCCACTGTTCTTTTCAACCCTAGAACTTAGTTATTGGAATGCAGGGATTTTTGTCTGTTGCATTCACTGCTATATCCCTAGTGTTTAGAAAGTGCTTGGCATGTAAAAGGCACTTATCTATAGCATTGCATGTCATGTATTTTATTTATTTTGACTGCTACATATCACTCCATTGTGTAAGTCATATATTCATAAGTATAATTTCTAGGAGGCCACAAGATTGCCCTGGGGGAAGTAGGGGAAGCATCATTTTATCTGGATCCCTTCCCTTTGTGCTTCTTGAAGTGATGGTGCCCCACTATGGCTACAGAAGTAGCCTTCATCTCCAGTCAGTAAGGGGCAGAGTGTAACATGAAAAACACAAAACTAGGAAGGCCTTGGGTTTTTCTCTTTAACGGGTTCTGATCACCAATTTCCCATGTTGGGCAGCGGTTGGGGTGGAGATGAAGATGGCGAGTGGGTCCCACACCAAGAAGCAATGCTCTGATACCAGCTGGATGTCCTGCAATTCAGCTCAATTCTGACACTGTCTACCTGGTGCTAGCAAACCCCATAGGTTAAGGGCTCAGTCCTATAAGACTACCCCCCTCTTCAGGTACCAGTCAAGGTTGTCACCTGTGCTTCTGACTGACTGGCTAAAGATTGGAGTTTCCATCAACCTCCACCTTGGGTATGACTAATTTGTTAAGAGTGCTTCACAGAACTCAGGGAAACCTTTACTTACGTTTAGCAGTTTATAATAAAAGAATATGGTAAAGGATACAGATTAACGTCTAGATGGAAGGGATGTGTAGGGCAAGGTGGGTGGGAAGAGGTGTGGAGCTTCCATGCCCCATCCAGGCCCACCCCCCTCCATCCCCCTGCCCAGCACCTCCATGTGTTCACCAGCCCGGAAGCTCTCCGAACCCCAGACTATTGGAGTTTCATAGAAGCTTCATCACGTAGGCTTGAGCGATCATTAACTCCATTTTCAGCCCTTTTCCCTTCTCAAGAAAACGAGGGGCAGGGCTGAAAATTCCAAGCTTCTAATCATGGCTTTGTCTTTCCAATGACCAGCCCTCGTCCAGGAGCCACCCAGAGTCGCCTCCTTAGCAAAGACCAAATATTAGGTCAAAAGATACTCCTAATGCTCTTACCACTTAGGAAATTACAAGGGTTTTAAGGGTCCTGTGCCATGAATGAGGGGCAGAGACCAATATATATGTTTTCTGTTATCTCACCAGGGATTCACTGTGTACCTTGTCATAAAAAAGGATACCTACTAAACCATTGTGAAAGTCAATGTAAATGTTATACATCTCTAAATTCCTAGTCCAGTTCCCTAGTCAGAGTAGGTACATGACAAATCTTAATGACAATTATTTGTAAAGTGGGGTTGTAGATCCTTCCTGCCCTTTGCACCAAACAGGTTGATGTAAGGAGCACAGGAAATAATGCTTGGAGCTACTGTGAAAAGTATTGAATGCTATTCAAACGTGATGTAGAATTGATAGTAAAATTATCATTGTTTGTTGTATATATGAATCAAGGACTTACTGTGTGCTGAGTACTATGCTAGATATTTTAGATCTCATTTATTCTCAGAGCATGGTTATATGTGTCAGTGTTATCGCCATTTACAGATGAGGAAAATGAGGCTCAGAAAGGTTAGGATACTAGCCCAAGGTTACACAGCGGGAAAACCAAGGTGTAGGATCTAGGTCAGATGGTATTTGTGCATGAGTGAGTATGAAGAAACATAAGAACATGAAGGGAGTGGTGATCACTGGACAGAACCCTGCAAAGAGAAAGGAACTTTGAGATAAGGAAAGACTCCAAGGAAAGCTCTCCTCCAACCCCTCTACTCTCATCCTTCTTACCTCCTATGCATTGGGCCAGCTGGTAGCTGCTGAAAGTATGTTTCTGATGATTCTGATGGAACGTGGTTATCTCAAGATGGCAGGTTGTTACTGACCCTTCCCAAGAACTGCAATATTTATTTAAATGTTTAAATACTACATGAGAATGGGCACAGGACAGTGCGTGGTTTAGTGCACGGGCCCTGAGGTCATGCTGCCCAGATCTGTGACTGTAGGCAAATTACTTGACCTTGCTAAGTCACCTCTTCCTCACCCTTAAAATGGGGACAGTGGTAGTTCCTATCTCATAAAGTTATTTTGATCATTAAACAAGAAAACATTTAAAAGGTGGTTAGCACAGAGTTCTATCGGGAGCGGGAGCGGAGAGCGGACCCCAGAGAGCCCCGAGCGGCCTCACCGCTGCCGCCGGCCTGGTTACCGTCCCAGCCCGGGAGGAGCCGCAGCTGCCGCAGGGGGCCCCAGTCACCGTCGCCGCAGCCACAAGCAGCGAGGCCGAGACCCGGCAGCCGCCCGCCGCCCCCCGCCTTCAGCGCTGCCGACCCCAAGCCCCGCACGACGGGCAGCGGCGGCGCCGGGCGCGGCGGCCCGGGCGGCCTCACACCGGCGGCGCCTGCCGGCGGAGACGAAAAGACCATCGCATCGAAGGTTTTGGGAACAGCAAAATGGTTCAGTGTGAGAAACGGGTGTGGTTTCATCAACAGGAATGACACCGAGGAAGATGCATTTGTTCACCGGACTGCCATAAAGAAGAAGAACCCCAGGAGGCACCTTCGCGGTGTAGGAGGTGGGGAGACCGTGGAGTCCGATGTCGCTGAAGGAGAAGAGGGTGCGAAGCAGCAAACGATGCAGGCCCTGGAGCGGTTCCAGCGCAGGCAGTAAACGTGCCGCAGACCGCGACCACTAGAGCCGCTCTCCACGTCGCAGCGGTCCTCCACGTCGCAGCGGTCCTCCACGTCGCAGCGGTCCTCCACGTCGCAGCGGTCCTCCACGCAACCTCCAGCAGAAGTACCAGAAGAGTGAGAGTGGGGAAAAGGCGGAGGGATCCGAGAGTGTCTCCGAAGGCCAGGCCCGACAGCGCCGGCCCTACCGCAGGCGCAGGCGCCCACCTTACTGCATGCGGAGACCCTATGGGCGTCGAGCACAGCGTTCCAACCCTCCCGTGCAGAGAGAGGTGATGGAGGGTGCGGACAACCAGGGTGCAGGAGAACAAGGTAGACCAGTGACACAGAATATGTATCGGGGTTATAGACCACCGTTCCGCAGGGGCCCTCCTCGCCAAACACAGCGCAGAGAGGACGGCAGTGAAGAGGATATGGAAAATCGAGGAGATAAGACCCGAGGTCAGCCGCCCCCTCAACGTTGGTACCGCCGCAACTTCAATTACCGACGCAGACGCCCAGAAAACCCTAAACCACAAGGTGGCAAAGAGACAAAAGCAGGAGATCTACCAGCTGAGAATGCGTCCGCTCCCGAGGCTGAGCAGGGCGGGGCTGAGTAAAAATGCTGGCTTACCATCTCTACCATCATCCGGTTTAGTCATCCAACACGAAGAAATGAATATGAAATTCCAGCAATAAGAAATGAACAAAAGATTGGAGCTAAAGACTAAAGTGCTTGTTTTTTGCCTGTTGACCGGATAACTAGAACGATCTGCGTTACCTATGCAGCATGGGGTTTTTATTATTTTTACCTAAAGACGTCTCTTTGTAGTAATGACAAACGTGTTTTGTTTTTTTTTTAAAAAAAAGCCTGGTTTTTCTCAATACATCTTTAAAGGTTTTTAAATTGTTTCATATCTGGTCAAGTTGAGATTTTTAAGAACCTCATTTTTAATTTGTAATAAAAGTTTACAGCTTGATTTTTTCAAAAAAGTCAACAAACTGCAAGCACCTGTTAATAAAGGTCTTCAATTAAAAAAGAAAAAAGAAAAAGATGGTTAGTGTAGTGCTTAGCCTATGGTAAGCCCTCAAAAAATGTTAGCCCAGATCATATTATTATTAGTGTATTATTCAAGGGCCATGTTTTTTAATTGCCTCCAATTTCCACAAGGTGGCAGGTCGAGTTCAAAGTGGACCCCATGGCTCTGTGTCCCAAAGGCAAAACCTATTTTAATTGTTTCAGAATAACTGGGACAATTATGAATTGTTCAGAAACATGTTCATTGTCTATAGAATGTTTGTCACGGTCCAGGCATCTTACTGTTGCTGAAAAACCCTTCTTAATGGACCATATGGATCATTTAATTTAATCCTCTGTTTCTCACGATTCCTGGCACCTTCTGCATTTACATGAAATGTATATTAACTCTTCCAGGGATCACCTGGCTGAGTACATACAAGTCATCTCGTTATGCACTAAGTTTAGTCCCTGGAAGACTGTGAAGAGGAGACAACGAGCAAGCTGGAAGGAGTCCTGGTCTCTGTGACTGGTGAACTGCAGAAGGCAGTTCTGTACACCTCATCTTAGAGTGACAGGGTGTTTGCTCATGAGGAGCTATAACAGGGCATATTGAGGGAAATGTTTAAATAGTAGAATTCAGACTTTTCTTCTATGTATCTATCCTCTTTTTCCATTTCCCTAATTTCACGTCATATTGCTAACCTCCAATTTCTACAATTTTACTTTGCCTTTAACGCATTGGTTTTGGGGTCAGATCAAACTGGGTCCAAATCCTGACTCCACTACCCATGATGGCAGTGATTATAGAAGCACATATTTGACAAATACTTCTTTACACCGCCATTCTTTTTTTAATTAATTTTTTAATTGAGGTAACATTGACTTATATAAGTTTCATGTGTACAGTGTCATATTTCTACTTCTGTATACCCTACAACATCAATTCTTTACCTGATAATAACAAAACCTACCTGAAAGAGTTGTGAGGATTAAATGAAATAAAGCACATGAAGGATTTAATTCAATCAGAAATAGTTACTAGTAATTACAATGGCATAGCCTTGCCCAGCAAGTGGCAGATAGAACGTGTTCAATGAGCATTTGTAGAGTAAATAAATGAGACTTATTTTAGTACTTCACAGTGTTAGTAACTCTAAGACTGGCCTTGGATATCTTCAAGGGAAACGCTCACTGAAATCAGTGTGATCTCGTCAAATGTATTCTCTGATTATGGGAGTCCAGTGATATATAAAGCTCCCCAGGCTTGTTTCCTGCCCACCACTCATAATTGTGACATGTGAGCATTCAAGTTACTTAACCTTTCTGTAACTTGATTTCCTTATCTGTAAAGCCAGCGTGGCAATAGCATTTAATACTTCAGATTCAGATAGGTGTGAGGCTTCAGCAAGTCAGTTTAGGTAAAGCACACAGCACAGAGCTTGCCATACCTTAAGTGCTCAATAAATGTTAGCTGTTATCCTCTGGCTCGGTTTGGAAGACCTACCATTGCTTCTGTTTGATTCACTTGGGGGATTTTGGGATGTTGGAAAGTCAACGCTTCTAGTTTGTAATTAGGAAAGAAGATAAAGCAGACCTCTTGGCAATTTCCTGAGTATGAAACCTTGTGTTTTATGAACCACGGAAAGTACCCCAAATTTCTTCTCAACCCACCCCAGCAAACTGACAAATTCAGACCTTTCCCACCCACTCTCTGTACATCTCCCGTGGGACTATGAAAATAAAGGAAGTATTCGTTGCTTTGTGCATAAACTGTTTTCCCAGTGGTATATTTCTTCTAGTTTCGACAAACTCAAGCTTTCTGCCAGTTTTATCTACCAAAGGGTCAGCCCTGCTCCGAGACCAGAGTTTGCCTGTTTCTGTGGATTTTGCAAAGTCAAAAGTGGGAGAGAGGCAAATTTCAAGTGAGGAGAGTTACAGAGTAGGAGTAGCACTGAATGGCTGCTGCAGTAAACAGTAAAAAGAAATCCCCAGTCCTCAAACCCTGGACACCAAAACAGCCCATTCAGCTGCATGAGTTTTAAAACACAATTATGCATGAGGGAGAACGGGCCATCAAAACCTACTGGAGTCCTCTGCTGGCACAAGCTTTGTGGAACTGGATGTGGCAATAAATAGTGGCCAGGGTGACTTGCAGAGCTCTGGGCTTGCCCTGAAGTAACTGATACGGTATCAACCAGCAGACAAAAGAGAACTTTGACAAAGGATACTGAGATGAAATCAGCTCCCACATACAGGAGCATGCCGCAGTGGGGTAGAAGGTGGGGAGAACAAAGGTCCGGGCGGGAAGTGAGCGAGAAGGAGACACAGTCATACCTCCCGTTAGAGAACTGCAGGCAGAGCAGAACTAGCCTATACCAGTGCTCCTGGCCACATCTGTCACGCGAAGGTTAGAGGTTTTCAAAGCGGAAAATTTAAACTTTTCGTTTTGCTTTGTGTTAGAGAGTCAAGTCTACAGAGACAAATTCACATCATGTATTGCACATTCTGTGTAAACAGGTGTTGACTGATGTCTTCATGCAAAATATCTCCTTTGGTTGGCTGTCAGTCAAACCAAGCCTGTGAGTCCTTTATTCCTTCAAGTATTTATTGCATGGTAACCATGGACTAGGAACTGTGCTAGGTGCTGGGGTTACAGGATGAATAAAACTACTCATTTTCTGACTTCAAAGACTTGATATTCTGGGGAATGAGAAAGAGAAAGTAAAGACAGATACCCAGCTAATTAGTAAATACAGTGTGGTTGTGGTGGTGATGATGGTGACGGTGGTGATAGTGGTGATGGTGGTGGTGGTGATGGTGGTGATGGTGGTGATGGTGGTGGTGGTGATGGTGATCGTGGTGGTAATAGTGACAGTGGTGCTGGTGTTGGTGGTAGTGTTGGGGGTTGATGGTGGTGGTGGTGGATGGGTGTGGGGAGCAGGCAGACCTGGCTGCCCCGCCTTGAAGATGTTTGACCTCACACAAGATTCTCACACTGTTGCTCCTGACTTCCAGAGTTGACAAATAAAATATTTAAAGAAACTGCTGATTATTAGATGCTCAGTTAAAAACTGTTAAAGTCCTATATGGCAATGATTAAGAGTCTAAAGCCAGTCTAGTTCAGGTTCAAATTCTAGCTCTAAACATACTAGTCATGAACAAATTATTTAAACTCTTGGTGCCTCCGTTTCCTTATCTGTGAAATTTGATAGTAATAATTAAACCAACCACCTCAGATTAAACAGATTAAATAGATCAATGCATGTAAGCACTTAGAACAACCCAATGAATAGTATGCTCTATGTGAGTGCTATTTATCATGAACTATAGTAAAATGTGATATGCTCTGTAACGATGCTATTTAAAACGCTGTGAACTACTGTGCATCATAACATCTTGTGGAAAAACCCAAATGAACTTTCTGGCCTACCCAATAGATATAGATATAGGTAGGCAGATAGACAGACACATGTATAAAAGAGATACTTGATATTTTGCTACATAGGAAAAAAAAAAAGAACATGTTAACAACACAGAGGGAAACAGAAAACCAGAGAGACTAGAAGAACACACATGACAGTGGTAACTGTTCATCTCTGGGTGGTCTGATTACAGGTAACTCATTTTTTTCCCCTAAGTTTTGTGTTTTATAAAATTTTAACAGTTATTGGTTCACTAATTTTAAAACATTTTAAAATGTTTAAGGAAGGAAGTTTGGTGATTAAAAGGCGCGTAGAGGGCTTGCGTGGTGGCGCAGTGGTTGAGAGCCTGCCTGCCGATGCAGGGGACACGGGTTCGTGCCCCGGTCCGGGAGGATCCCACATGCCGCGGAGCGGCTGGGCCGGTGAGCCATGGCCGCTGAGCCTGCGCGTCCGGAGCCTGTGCTCCGCAACGGGAGAGGCCACAACAGTGAGAGGCCCACGTACCGCAAAAAAAAAAAAAAAAAAAAAAAGGTGCGTAGAGCTCCAATGAAGGATTGATAAGATCTGTCAGGGAAGGTGTCACCGGGAATGGAAACTCTGAGCCAGGTATTAAAGAAATTAACTAGTAGGGGCTTTGAAGACATACAGACTGGTACAGAGATGAGGACGAGCTCCCAAGAACTGCCCGATTATGTATTATTTGATTACATGGGAAAGTCATGCAGCAAATAGTGCATGGGATAAGTGGACCATCAACCCTCAGTGAAGAGCCTTCTCTGGGCCTGAATATGGAGCCCATCCCTCGTGTTCACTTGTTGTCTTGTTTTCTGTGGTATATGGTGGAAAGTTTGGTTCCTCTCTCTCTCACTCTTACTCTTTTTCTCTCTCCAATTTCAGAAATCTCATTGTGGAATCCTGTCTGTTGAAGATAGCTGGAGACCAGTTTAAGTCTTTGTGATGGAACCCACAGAATAGATGTTAATTATATTACCTACTTTCCAGACACTGACAGGTAATCTGAGAGACATGTAGACCTCCCTATCATGGCTGAGAAGCAGTGTAAGTTCCATCTTGTGGATGTCCACTCAAAGCTGAGTCTTTCCCAGGAAGTGGGTGATACAGAGTGACAGTCAGCTGGGAATGGTCCTACTTTTCCAGCTCTTCCTGTGCCTCTGGACTCTAAGGCGGTACCAGCCTGTGCTACAGGCAGGGCCCACCAGCTCAGGGCACCTAGCAGTTATTTCAGTTCTTCTGGGTACCAGCCTGCACCTTAGCCTTCTGACACTGGAGGGCTAAATGCGACAGCAATGACTGGAGAATGTCTTCAGTTTATTCCTGTATGTTTCTGGAGAGAAGACCTGGTGACAGGGAAAAAGCAGCTTCCTTCTTCCCTCTACCTCCTGTCTCTTCTTAAGCCCTCTGCTTTAATTTCTGGCTGACTTGAGCAATGTTGACAAGACAAAGAGAAGTCTTTCCACTGTTTAGTCTACTTTTAATTATTTCGATATGGAGACCTTCCCTGGCCACCAGGCAACAACTGTCCATTCTTGATTTTCTCCTCTTTCTTACTTCTGGGTGCTGGGGATGTAGTTTGGTTGGACCAGGTGCAGCCAGGAACTTCTTGGGAGGTCCAAGCTTTCCCAGAATTTATAATCTACCCAGAGAAAGCCCCTGTGGGGAAACTCCACAGATCTTTCCCTGGCTACACCTCTGGGGACACTGCGGTTGTCCTACTTCTCCTGGGCTGCTCTTGGCTTCCTCAGTGTGATGGTTCTGTCTTCTTTCTTCAGGAAAAAGTCTCCCTGACCTCTCCCTTCCTAGGTATAAAGGAAAGACTCTAGGCTTTGGAGCCACACTCTGAGTTCAAATGCCACCTACTTGCTGTGTAACTTTGGGCAAATTACTTCGTGAGGCTGATCCACCATTTCCTTTTGTTTATAAAATGGGAGTAGTGAAATAAGTCAGACGGAGGAAGACAAATACTGTATGATCTCACTTAAACGTGGAGTCAAAAAAGAAGAAATACGGAACTCAGATACAGAGAACAGATTGGTGGTTGTCAGAGGTGGGGTTCGGGAGGCGGGTGAAATGGGTAAAAGTGGTCAAAAGGTACAAACTTGCAGTTATAGGATAAATAACTCATGGGGATGTAATGTAGAACATGGTGGCTGTAGTTTCTAACACTGTACTATATATTTGAAAGTTGCCAAGAGAGTAAACCTTGAACTTCTCATCACAAGAAAAAAAAAATCTAGCTATGTATGGTGATGGATGTCAGCTAGCCTTACTCTGGTGATCATTTCACCATACATACATGTATATACCAAATCATTATGTTGTACACCTACAACTAATACAACGTTAATGGCAATTATATCTCAATTTGGAAAAAAGATGGGAATAATTTATGTAACTCATAGTGCCAAGAGGCCCAAGGAGGGAATAATGGAAGATATGAAGAGTTAAGTGAGGTAACAAAAGTTACCTAACAAAAAGCACCTAACACAACGTCGGAAATACAGTAATAATTGGACATTATTTACACCTTTCGCCAGTTTCCCATTCTTCTTTGCTATACCTAGTACATGCATATGATCCTTTTTGTTTCAAGTGTTTTTCTATTAACAATTATAGGGCAACTGACACAGTACTGCATATTCTGTTTAACAACCGTGGGGAAGTTTGGCAGCTTAACAAAACATCCTTGACTCCCTTGCAGAGAGGAGAATTCAGCTTCCCTTGGACTTTGGCTTTAAGACCTCACATTCTTTTCTCAGAAAACAGACCTGAAGACAGGTAGGTGTTAACTGTGCTCTGATCCTTTCAGGTGTCTTCGTTTCAATAATAATAATAAACACCAGTTTCTTAACACTGAATATGAGCAATCTGTAGATGTTATCTCCTTTAACCTTAACTCCATGAGGCAGGTGACATCATCCCCATTTATAGTTAGGAAACTGAGACTCAGAAAGGCCAAGTGCCACCCTACATCACATAACTAGATCATTCTGAAAGCACAAGACAAACCAAGATATCTATGGCTCCAGAATCCATGTTCCTGGCACTCTCACCAAGGTGCTTTGAGGCAACAGTAGCAGCAGTTGCAAAGCTCTTTACTTGAGAGGCCTTTTTCCAAGGGGAGAAGGGTCTGGAAACTTGGAGCTCTCATGACCCACCTGGCTTCTCGCTCCAAACAATTTCACAATACATCACTGGCATCTAACATTCATAAGTAATGAAGCCAAAATTAGTCCCTCGGAAGTTTACAGATCAGTAACCTAAAGTCATCTAGTACAGGACAAAAGCCACCATGATAAAGAAAGCAGTGACTGTATCTTTAAATCTGGGGTGATTTGGTCAGGAGGCTCTCAGACCCGAAGTGATCGGTTGACTGCATGTCTTCTGCCCGCTGAGAACCGTGCTATCAAGACTGGAGAACTCCAGAGTGGTCGAGGCAGGGCACAGGTGAAAGGGCAGAGTTGGAACCCTGAACAAACTTTTCCCCATGACTTACAGAACTTCCCTAGTTCTGCGTTTCCCATACTTTCTAGGGGGAAGTAGGCTCCTTTTTAGTCTTCTTTTCCTCATGCCTCGCAGAGCAGCAGTACTGGAACCACTCAGCCACGCGGACTGGGCAGCATCTAAAGGTCACGTCGCTGGCGGGTGCAGTTTGAGTAGAAGTGATCGCAGATGTGCAGGCCAACATCCAGAGGGTCAGCAGGGCCAGGGCCTGAGCCATGGGGCCATCCACGTTTTCTGGAGTGGAAGGGGAATACGAGTCAATACAGGATTGAAGAACAGGAAGATCGCGCGGAGCTCTGGAAGAGAAGCAGCAGAGTCGCCCTTTGTCCCGGTGTCCTCTTTAACAAGGCATTGGTGAAGGAATAGCGCATACTGATGGCCTACTGTGTACTTAGCACTATGCTGCATGCTTTATAGAGGCCCTTAAGCACAGTAATGTTAGAAAGACCTCGATGTCCTAACTCTGCTACCACCTAGCTTGGAGAAATTGGGAAAATCATTCAATCTCTCTGAGTGTTTATGTCATCTTTAAAATTGCTGCAACGGGAGAGGCCACAGCAGTGAGAGGCCTGTGTACCGCAAAACAAACAAACAAAACAAAACAAAATTGAACTAATAATATCTATATTTATCACTGAGCCCATCAATATTAATTGAAGACCTACTGTGTGCTAAGCATTATAAAAGCTGGATATACATGTAGGTAAATTAAAATAAACCAGTATCTTATAAATAAGCTCTAGGAGTATAATGTACAGCATGATTATAGTTGAAAATACTGTACTGCTTATTTGAAAGTTGCTTAGAGAGTAGATCTTAAAAGTTCTCATCACAAGAAAAAAATTGTAACTATGTGTGATGGACATTATTAAACTTATTGTGAGAATCATTTTGCAATACATCAAATCATTATATTGTGTACCTTAAACTTGTATATCACGTTATATGTCAATTATCTCGAAATCTCAATCTGTCTCAATAAAGCTGGAAAAAAATTTTAATAAAATAAAATAAATCAGTGACCATTTTTGTGGAACTTGCAATCTATATATACAGGCAAGCGTGGTAAATTACATAAAATGCTTGGAATTTGGCAGTTATTATTTCATTTAATCTTCACAGCCATCCTATGAAGAATATGCTCTTTTCACATCAACATTACCTGCTATTGTTAACTTTTGAAACTAAACCTAGGCAGATCCAGACTGAGAAAAAAAAAATACTGAGTACTAGATTCATCTTAATTGCAATAGTTAAATGGCCATCATTAGTTGATGGTTCCATATAAAGTCAGTTTGAGAATGTGGTATATTTGATATTCAAAAATAGACCATGTCTTTCAGTGATTCATGCCTTCTGTCACTGAATATTTGTGGTCCATCATTGTATTCTTAGCATCTAACCCAGTACTTGGTACATTTTAGGTGATTGATACATAATTGCTGAATAAAATTGAGCACTTATTACATTACATTATTACCAGGCTTTAATTCTGAAAATTGCATCGTATCTGATCTTTGTTCTTAGAAATTGTGTTAGGGCCTGTGGAGGAAAACATAAAATTCTGGCCCAGTAAGCTTTAGAAAGCTATGTCAATAGAAATGAAGGTAGGGAAGAGCGGTGGAGACCAGTCTTAAATGAGGAGAGTCCCCCCATGACTCCAAAATAACCCCTCTATCGCTACTCTGAACCTATCTCTTCTTGCTCCAAGATATTTCTCATAATGATGAGTGTTCCCCAAGATCCTGCCCCTAGATTTCTGCTGTACTAGAAAATGTATGGATTTTAGAGTCTCTAAATCAAAGTCCCAGAACTTACAAGCTGGGTAATTTTTGTGAAGTTACTTATTCTTAACCTCTTAGCTGCTTCTTATGTAAAACTGGAGCAAGGCCAAATTCTCTGGTCAAGAAGATGAAATAAAATGCTGTATCTGAGAGTAGCTGGCAAAATGAATGAAAGGATGGGAAAGTAGACACAGGTGTAAGTCCATGTTACAGTAAAGCCAGGGGGAGAGGAAGTGTAGAATGTCATTGGTGCCCCCGCGAAATCCCCTTGACTCTCAGCGTTCCGTACCTGCTGGCTGCTCTCACTGCAAATGCCTTCAGCCCTTATCTCTCTCCAGGAGCTTGCCTTGTCCCACATCTAGGGCAGAACGGCAGCACCAGCGGGGGAGAGCACCCCTGCGACAGCCCTCAACTGATGACAGATGGCAGGCAGTGGATAAATACTGAATGCTCTCCCCTCTGAGATGGGACAGCTCTGAGGTATGGCCTACACTACCTTCCAGAGATACCTCCACCCCCGAGGGGGCATGAACCCCAGTTGCACACAGTGTTAACCTGCTCATAACACACCTGTATTGGCTCCCTTCTCGTTTTTATGTCACATCTGCTCTCACCTTCCAGTGCGTCCTGGGATCCCTGGATCCTTGTGTCGGGGTCACTTTCTGGGGGAAATTATCCTAAAATAGTCAGATTATGTTAAAAAGGAGGCATAACTGTGCGTGTAACTTTGTGAGGTTACAGGGTAGAGGAGTTAACGGAAGAAAACGGAGGCTTTGGGTTAGAAAGAATCTAGAATGGTAACTTCTCTGGGTCAGCGTGCCAGGGAGTTACCAAGAGACTTAAAGAGAAATGGAGAGGTGGGCTCAGGGTGCAGCTAAAGTTAGCTAGCACTGGGTAGGAAGTGAGCATATCTTTAGAGCTCTGAATTTTCCTCCAAAAACACAGAGTAACTTGATAACACAAGAGGAGAAGATGAATGAGAAGAGTGCGAGGGATAGGAGCAAAACGAAGAGAAGGAAGAGCTCCCAACTAATTATTATCTACCAAGTTACTACTACTACCTACTAGTTCTTTCCATTTATTTCCATGGGGTCTTTGAATGTCAAGTCTAGGGTGTGACTTGAAGCTCTCATGCTAAGAACTATTGGGAGAATGGCGATTTCGTAGGAGAACATGTTTCAGGCGAGAAGAAGAAAGAAAGAGGTTTTAAAAAGGGGTTTATGGGGCTTCCCCGGTGGCGCAGTTGTTGAGAGTCCGCCTGCCGATGCAGGGGACATGGGTTGGCGCCCCAGTCCGGGAAGATCCCACATGCCGCGGAGCGGATGGGCCTGTGAGCCATGGCCACCGAGCCTGAGCGTCCAGAGCCTGTGCTCCGCAACGGAGAGGCCACGACAGTGAGAGGCCCACGTACCACAAAAAATAAATGGGTTTATGTTAATAGAAATGTAACGGTTAATTTCGTGTGTCAACTTGGCTAGGCCACAGCACTTGGTTATTTGATCAAACGTTATTCTATGTTTCTGTGAAAGTATTTTTTAGATGTGATTAACATTTAAATCAGCAAGACTGTGAGTAAAGCAGATCACCCTCTGTAATGTGGGTGGGCCTTATCCAATCAGGTGAAGGCCTTCATGGAAAAACACTTTCCTCCCCTGAAGAAGGGGGAATTCTGCCAGCTGGCTGCCTTTGGACTTGAGCTGCAACTTCAACTCTCCCCTGAGTCTCCAGATTGCTGACCCAACCCTGCAGATTTTGGACTTGCCTACCACCACGATGGCATGAGTCAATTCCTTAAATTAGTCTTTCTGTCTCTGTCTCTTTCTCTCTCTCTCTCTCTGTACAACTCAGTAGATAGATAAATGATAGGGATGGAGATGTAGAGATGTAGATATAAATAGATACATACTATATCTACATGTCTACACCTAGATACACACATACACACCCTATTGGTTCAGTTTCTCTGGAGAAACCTGACTAATACAGGGACCCAGGGACTTTCCCCACAATGGAGTGGGGGTTCCAAAGTTTCGAGTGAAAGGCAAAATGGTAACGGAGTGAGGGAGAACAGAGATGAGGTGAGAGGGACGAGACTGACCGAATGGGGAGTTTGAGGGTAAGGAACAGATTTGAAAGATTCATGAGAATAAAGGCATAAACCCTCATCAGTTAGGTTTCATTGCAGAAAACAGACCATTCTGGTTATTTTAATGGAGTTTGGATTTAACACAGGGAATTGGGTACTTACAAAACCTTAGGAAAAGCTGAGTTTCTGGAAATGAATCCTAGAACAACACAGCCAATGGGCCTTCCAGGGAGCTGCTTCCCGGCCACAATCGGGAAGACAGGCACTCGGAGCTCGCCACTGGAAGCATTAACTTCAAGAACACCCGACTTTAGCTTATTCCAGGGAACCCAACACAATGGGGGCCAACCCTTCTGCTGGGTACTACTAGTAGGCGCAATGCCTAGTGCCAGCAGTACATTTAGGAACCCATAAAACTATTTAAATTGCTTTTAAAATTAGAAGAAAAAAAGAAATTTTAGGTTGAATTAAATGTTTAAATGTATAATAATAATATATTAATCTTTATCCCAATGCAGTCGTGGAATATAATTTTTTTTAATGGAGGAAGTGGCCCATGAAGGCAAGAGTACCTACTAGGGCCAATGAAAGACTTAATGTGGCCCCAAAAGCCATTGCTGCTGCCAACTTTGTAATTGCCTTGTGACACCTGTGAAACTAGTGACCAGGTCCTGTAATGTGCTGCAGAAAAAGCATGTTGGACAAAAGAGAGAGTGAAAAAAGAAGAAACTCTCGCTTCCACCTTCTTAACTGATGCAAATGCATCTAATCAGTAGAAATGATTTGTATCTAAATTTCTAGCTCCAGAGGAGTCTGGAACATATAGTTTTTAGATTTCCAGTCTCCACAGTACCAGAAGACACACACGAAGGAGGTTGGAATGGATGCTAGAACCTCTCACCATATCCGCCACACTTGCGTTAGTTACAGGAGTACCTGGAGTACGGCAGGGCCTCATGCTAGAGGAAAGGGAGGACAGAAGGCCCTAATGTAAAAAAAGTTAAACTTTGCTGAAAATGAAAGAAATGCTGCTTTACTCTCCAAGGCACAGCATATGTTTCTGCCCAGTAGTGACAGTGAGTCTCAAGTTCTGACCCCACCCTAATCCAAACAGATGTTACAATTAGACTGTACCAGTCTATTCCCCCTATGCAATTTTACTAGCAAAGAATCCACAAATAAGAGGATGGGGTAATTCATCTTCAAGTAAACAGCAGCTTCCAGCTTCTCTTGGTACTTTTCCTCCCCTCTGATCTCATCCTTACCACTCTTCCCTTTGCTCACTGTGCTCCAGCAACATATGCTCCTAAAACATGTCAAACACGCTCACCTCAGGGCCTTTGCCCTTGCTACTCCTACGTAGGAAATAGCCTGACTTACTCTCTCACCTCCTTTAGGTCTCTCTTCAAATGCCATCTTCTCTGTGACACTTTATGTAAAAGGGCAACCTCAAGCACTCCCTGTCTCCCCCTCTGCTCTAGTTTCCTACTTAGCACTTATCACCTTCTGACACTCCCTATTTTTTTTTTGAAATATAGTTAATATACAATGTTCTAGTTTCAGGTATATAGCACAGTGATTCAGATATATATATATATATATATATATATATACACATATATATATATATTCTTTTTCATATTCTTTTCCATTATGCTTTACTACAAAATATTGAATGTAGTTCCCTGTGCTAGACAGTAGGACCTTATTGTTTATCCATTTTATATATAGTAGTGTGTATCTGCTTATCCCAAACTTCTAATTTATCCCTCCCCTACCCTCTTTCCCCTTTGGTAAACTGGTGCAGCCACAATGAAAAACAGTATGGAGGCTCCTTAAAGAACTAAAAATAGAGTTGCCATATGATCCAGCAATCCCACTCCTGGGCATATATCCAGAGAAAACTTTAAGTCAAAAGATACATGCACCCCAATGTTCATAGCGCACCAGTTACAATAGTCAAGACATGGAAGCAACCTAAATATCCATCGACAGAGGAATGGATAAAGAAGATGTGGTACATATACACAGTAGAATACTACTCAGCCATAAAGAAAGAAGTAAATAATGCCATTTGCAGCAACCTGGATGGACCGAGATATTATACTAAGT